GGGTTGGGTGGGTATTTAGGGTGTAGAAACCTAGTAGGGGACTTAGAGTCCTATTGTTTCTACACCTACCTTACGGTAAATCTCTAAATCAATTCAAATCAAAGTTCACAGGGATATCTTCGTTACTCTTTTGTTTCAGATAAGAGATTATCTAGAGGTCAGACTGGAGGAGATCTTTGAGGACAAAATTCAGTTCAATGGAAAATTTGAGACAAGTGACCGAATACCCAACACATGCAATGTATCATTTATTGGTGTTGGACTAGAAGGAAGAAAAATCTTGGCTACTGTTAAAAGATTCCAAGCAAGTGTGGGTGCTGCATGTCACTCAGATGTAGGTTCACGACCTTCTCCAATCTTAATTGCCATTGGAGTTCCTCCCAACATTGCTATGAATGCTCTGCGGCTGAGTGTAGGACGAGACACAACCAAGGAAGATATTGATGTGGTGGTGGAAGACCTGAAGGTCGCTATTGAATGTCTAAGGCACAAATAGATTATAAAAAAACTACCTGTGTCATTTATAAACTCCATTCTGAAAATGGCTGGTAATATTCTCAAATGGCTACACCTGTGTGCCATTATCATTTTAACAAATAGATTCCATTTTGTTTTCCATCTGTTCAATGATTGATCTCAGAGGAGGTCCAAAACGTGAAAATCAAAATGTGGCACAGTGGTGCAGCCACTTGTATCACTGATGTGTGTTGCTAACTATTTAATTAGTTCTTAGTAATCAAGAGGGAGGCATGGTGGCCTCATGGTTAGTGCACTTGACTCCAGTGAGAGCAGTCTGGGTATGAGCCCCAGCCAAGGACATTGTGTTGTGTTCTTGAGCAAGACACTTTACTCTCACAGTGCCTCTCTTCACCCTCACAGTGCCTCTCTTCACCCAGGCGTTTAAATGGATACCAGTGAATTTGATGCTGGGGGGTAACCCTGCAATGGACTAGTATTCCATCCAGGAGGGAGTAGAAATACTCCTAGTTGCTTCATGCTATGGAAACTGGAGTTAAGTGAAGGCCTGATGGGCCACTTGGCTTGTAAACAGACTCTACCTTGTACTTAGTACTTGATGAAACTCGTTCTTCAAGTCTAAAGCCACAGCTTTTATTTTGGCAACTCTGTTTTGAAACTGCATGATCACAAAATCAGTAACTAAGGTTTTTTTAAGTAGAACTTCCCGCTCTCAAGCAGGTTGAAAACTGACTTGAATATTAAAAAGGTCATTGTAAAGAACTTTTGTATAATCATGAAATATCAGGTATCAAAAATCAACAATTTGTACTTTCTTCAAACATCAGTCTAACACCTGAACTTAGAAATAATAAAAGTAAGAATCGATAAAAGTATACAGATATACATGGTACCGATCGTAGAAGTAGTATCTTGAAATCCCTAAACGAATTCCGAATCTTTTAACACTGTTCACTAACTATGAAAAAAAAATTTGCAACACGAAAAAGTGATGCAGGAGCTTAGCTTCTTTAATTCCTAAACTGCTGATTTAATTTTACGCGAGAACTTATGACTGTTTTAATTGATAGAAAATATATGCAAGTGTCTATAATTATAGTATTCCATCGGTATGGTTCGACCAAAACTGCAAATAAGAGTAATTTCCTGAAAAAGAAAGTTTCTAGATGCGAAATATATCAATATAACTATACTGTTTGTCTTTTGAATCACCTCATTTGAGTTTACTCATACATCTACACATCTATTTATACATTTAGAGTTCTTCTGGCCATTTTCCGTTTGGATCATTCTTGTTCTTTCAATTTTCGAGGTCTTCTTTCCTGGTACAAAAGAAAATAACAACATGTAAAAACCCGACAGAATTTTGCTAAGTCTAAGCAAAACAGCTATGCCAAGCACTATACGCTGGAAAACAAAATGGTTCCTGCTTGCATCAAGATTGTTTGAGAAACTCATCTGACATTCTATTTTTAACGCGTTACCGAGATCTTTAATTATTGTTCTGCGAAATCAAATAGTTATAAAGTTGCTTGTTATATTCAGGATCATAATTTACATGATAAATGGACATGATCATCAGCGAGAAGACAGAGCCAGCTGCCTATATTTAGTATAAACAAATGTCAAACACCTTGTCTGACTGATTCTTACCTCTGTTTGCCAAACTCCAACTTCACGTCATCTCCAATCAGCATAAATGAGGCCCAGTCACGCACCCTGGTGAAGCCGTTATTCCTCATCCACTTCATGGCCTGGTGAAGGGATTCACTGGCACTTTCTCCATCAACAAGGTGTTCGTAGAACTGACGCATGACCTGTTCTGTGGCTGCGTCTGGTATGGCCCACAGGGCAACCAACACCGACCGAGCACAGGATCCTAAGAACGCTCGGGCGATTCCTATAACTCCCTCGGCCTTGATCTGTCCATTTGCACTGTGGCAACAACTGAGAACTACCAGTTTAGCTCTGATTTTTACTCGTGAAATGTCTCCCATTGTCAACATATAGGTATGCTGGGGTGGAATGATGTCTGGAGTGTCGGGGGTAGGAATAGGAGAGAGAGCAATTTCTCCTCTTTCGGCGTCACCATGGGCTGCAAAATGTATCAGACTCGCTGAAGTTATCTGTTCAAGTACAGCTTGCTTCGTTGCTTTCTCCCCTACCAGAGGGGAAACGCCCACCAGTCTTCCAACCATCTATACTTCCTTTTCAGCACACGGTAATGGCAGCAGCCAGTTAACCTTGGGATTTCCCACCACCAGTGCACCAGTGTTGCTGTGATAGTCCAGTGGACTGTCTTGTATGAGCTTAAGTATCGTTAAAGAAGGAACAACGCGGATCCTATGACTCTCCGAGAAGTATGGGGCTCCTTTTTCTTGAAGAGCTGCAAATGGAACTTTGTACAAGCTTCTGTGTGGAACAATAATGACTTCAGGCTCTTCAAGAAAATCATAGATTGGGGCAATAAAGATTTCGTAACACCGGGATAGACTTGAAATTTCCTCCTCGTTGTTGTCTTCCTCTATAAGTCGTGATGTTGCAGAGGTCCTCTCCTTTGATGAAATAGCTTGTGGTTCACGCATTTGCAAAGACCGATCTTCACACTCTTCCGTGGGCAAGCAACCAAAACTACGGAAACTGTCCGCCAAAACCTCAACCACAGAAGAATCTTTGGTGAATTTAGCCTTAACGACATTTTCCTCCACTGATATTTGTTTAAAATGGAGGGCTCCGCTTGTTTTCAAGATCCACAAATTCACCTTGCTATAAAAATAAGAAACATACAGGAAAGTACATCTGTTTTCCTTTCTCACAATGTTTTCAATGCCAAACCAAGAATGTTTCTTAGCACAAATGTGCGTTTCAATTGAGTACTTCTCTGCCATCAGGTCTGATAGGCCTGCAGCTCGCCCCAATTCTTCTACATATAGAGCATCATGCGGACTTCCGGTGACACAAAGCGACCAGCTTAGCAACTGGATGGAAATTTCACCCCTCTCCTCCAAAAATGATGTCTTAAACTGATCATTAATCCCAAGAAAATTTCTCAGTTCTTCGAATTTAGTAATGTTCTGGTGTAGATACCAAAGGGCATCTTTAAGTTTGTTTTGATGTAAAAATAATATCGAGTAACCAAACAGGACTTGCAACTCAAGGTTACGTCCTTTAATAATCTTGGATATGTAAAGTGCCTTCTCTAAACATGCTTCCGCAACTTGGTAATCACCAAGCACCGTAAACAAATTTCCCAAGTTTGCGTAATCTGCTGCTTCTCCTTCTCTGTCGCCAATTTCAGTTCTAATGTGGAGCGCTTTTCTAAGATACTCTTTGGCCTCGACGTATTGACCAAGTGAAGAAAAGACAGTTGCTAAGACTCCGTAACATTCGGCTTCTTTCCTCCTGTTGCCACTATCGATCCTGATGACTAGCGCTTGTTTGAAATAGTCTTTAGCCTCAACGTTTTGCCCAAGCGACTTAAACACCTTTCCTAAGTCAGTGTAAGCTTCTGCTTCTCCGTCTCTGTCGCCAATATCAATACTGATGGCAAGGGCTCTCTGATTGTGCTCTTTCGCTTTGATGTACTCCCCAAGCCATTCGAAAACTGCTCCTAAGCTGCCGTAACATGATGCTTCTCCTTTTCTGTCCCCAACTTCAATACTGAAGGTAAGGGCTCTCTCCACATACTCTTTGGCCTTGACGCAGTCCCCAAGAAAGATAAAAACAGTTCCTAATTTTATGTAAGATGCTACCACTCCCTTTCTGCAGCCAATTTTAGTTGTAAAGGCAAGAGATCTTTCAAGATACTCTTGAGCTTTGTCGTATTCCCCAAGCGACATAAACAGTGTTGCTAAGTTTATGTCGTCTGTTGCATCACCACTTCTGTCGCCGATCTCAGTTCTGATCACAAGCGCTTTTTCGAGATACTCTCTGGCTTTGACATACTCGCAAAGCGACAGAGACATCTGTCCCATGTTTCCGTAACATGTTGCTTCTCCTTTTCTGTCGCCAATTTCAGTTGTAATGGCAAGAGCTTCTTCGAAACACCTTTTAGCCTCAACGTTTTGCCCGAGCGTGCTAAACACAGTTCCTAAGTTGATCAAATATAATGATTCCCCGTTTCTGTCGCCAATTTCTCTCTCTACGACTAAAGCTTTTTTGAAATACTCTTTAGCCTTGTCGTTTTTCCCGACCAAGTAAAAAACGGTTCCTAAGTTTCCATAATCTGCTGCTTTTCCTAGTCTGTCGCCAATTTCAGTTCTAATGGCAAGGGCTTTTTCGAGATACTTTTCAGCATCGACGTAATTCCCGAGCGATTTAAATACAACTCCTAAGTTTCCGTAACATGTCGCTTGCTCTTGTAGGTCGCCAATTTCGATTCTAATAGAAAGGGCTCTCTCGATATGCTCTTTCGCTCTGACATATTCCCCAAGTGACTCAAACACAGCTCCTAAGTTTACGTAAGATAACGCTTCTCCGTCTCTGTCGCAAATTTCAATTGCGATGGCAAGGGCTCTCTCGAAATACTTTTTCGCCTTGATGTATTCACCAAGTTTATAAAACATGGTTCCACATTTTCCACAGGCGTTTATCTCTCCTATTTTATCCCCCGTTTGTGCCCTTATGTTAACCGCTGATTTGTAAAGTTGTTTGGCTTCTTTAAACTTACGCTGAATCTCGCATATCTGCGCCAGAATCATAGTTACGACTCCCTTCATTAATAAGTCATCAGACTCGTGTCCGAGGACTAGGAATATGCGACAGCATCTCTCGCAATTTATGTAGTCAGAGATATGATGGTAAACGCAGCAAAGAACAGCGAAGATGTCATTGAGACGAAGTTTGACAGATTGCAAGTCGTTATCTTCTGAGTTGTAACTCATCTTAAACAAACATTCATAGCACAATTTGATGGCCTTTTCAACGCGGTCCGTGTTCAGCAAGAACAGGGCAACAGAAAAAGCTATAAAGATTATTTCCACTCTTTTCTTTTCCATCGCTATCCGTGTTTCCTAAACCAAATGATGTAAACAAGATATTTAGTAAAACAAAATGCAACACAAATGATTAAATCATCTGGATCATTCTCACTCTCTGAGAACAGGACGCTATATGTGAAAAGTATAAAAATAAAGGTTGTGACAATCAGAGATAGGAAACTTTTGTACAAAGCTGCTGGTGTTACAATCAGCATTGAATGGCGACTAGAAATTGAAGAGCCAAAAAGGAGCACTCAGATCAATTACCCAAGGTCGTTTTGAAAAAATTCCATGGTGTTTGTCGATTTGTATCAGGATTTTATGGTCGAACTAGAATTTCGTAGGACCTTGCATTTTGGTCTTTTCATCGCGTGAGGAAAGTCAGAAACTTCTCTTCCCAGCCCCCTATTTTCTAACTAGCCCGCCTTTTTTTCGCTTTCATGCGAAAAAGAAAAGAAAATTCGAGCAAAATAAACAAATACAGCCATAAGGAAATCAACGATGCTGCATCGCGAGTATCCATAGGAATCAGCAAGAAATAGTCCACAGTAAATATAAACACTGCGTAAGCCTTCAATTCTTTGTACCAGCCTTCACAACTTATTTTTGATGAAGCCCCTTAAGATCAAGCTTCTTTATTTCCTGTCTATGAGTAATACAACACGTATAATAACTGACAATTTTTTTTATTTTTGCCTCAGTACTCTTTGACATTTCGTGCCCAGTTAGGGACAGTCCGAACATTAACTTAATCTTTAGTTTTATTTATTCATCTACTCATGGATTTAACTAACATACTGGAGATTCTTTTCCGTGATTTTATCGAGAACATAATTTTTTTCGGTTTTATATACCGTGCTATGTAGCTCATCATTGACCTAATAAAGATTTAACAGTGTAGTTTAACGAGTTTAGGTGTGTTCATTGTTGACCCAACGAGAAGGATGAACTTCGATAAAAAAATTCCATGAAGTTTCCTGATATTTCTCCAAGAATGGCAACATTTGAAAACATCGTACCAGCGGTCCATTTGACAAGTGACGAGCTCACTTAACTGGGATTGAAAACTGTTTTCAAAAAAGGCGTAGTCTTATCCTAGCAGACGAGGATAAATCGTAAGATGCAAAGCCACAAAGGCTTGACAATGCGGCTCTGGGACAAATCCATTTCATTGGAGGTGATTTGTGTACAATGCGACATCTCTTGCTAGTCCCACGACAAAGATTAATGAAACAGTACTTTAAAACTTAGGCTTTGCGGTAAGAACATTACCTTTTCAAAGTAACTATATATGTATTTTCTGTGTACATGAAGCTAAGAAATATACCTAAGTATTGTATCATATAAAACCTGGGTTCCCATGTAACATTATCAATCGTAATTTGTAAGATGTTGACTTCGTGGCTGCAGCATTTGAAACCGAAAGGACAAAATAAATACTGAATTTCCCCCACAGTTAAAAACGTCCGCCATTTAACAAACCCTACCCTTGCTTTTTTATAATTCCGATGACAACACCCTCACTCAGTTTTATAACACCGTTTTCCAGTTATATGTATTGAAGTAAAAACCATCCAATCATGACATTTTAAAGTGGTTCTGAACTTTAGAGTCGAAATTTGAATAGTATCTACTTACATAGGAGTTGGATCATTTTATTTCACTCACACAACATCTATTGTCGGGTTTTCTTTCAAATCAGCTCCAAAGTCGCTTTGAAACACTTAATGAACACTTACTGAAAATTTTACTCCAGGATCGTGGCCTAATAAGTCTGTCTGGAACTACAGGGAAGTGTACATTTTTGGTTTCTTTGATGACGTGAGGGAGGAAGTTACTATTGCCAGTTGCTCGCTAGTACCAGTCTCCCTTATTCTTGTAGGTAACGAATAATCGTCACATTTTAAACGAATGTCTCGCATGTGTGGCGTAACAAATCAGTCATACCAGCTGACCGATGGGGGCCGGAATGAAGCTTACTTTACACTAAAAATAAATAAAGCGAGTTCTTTAACTTCCAGTCACTTATTACTATGATTGGAGCGAAATCAGACACGTTGTATCTGCTTCTCGCGCGTGCGTGTCATCGACTCAAGTATCTTCTTTCACGTGATCGTGGCATGGCTTTCACAAGAAAAAACAAAAACACCAGAAAAACAGTAAACTAACTCACGCAAAGAAGCCGAATATTCAGAGAAATTAACGAGGAAAAGATGCAGGCAGGTTCTAGGTGCTTATTTTCCTCGATCATTTGCATTGCAGCTAAAGATTAAACGACTTAAGGATAAACAACCATCTTAAAAACATTTTTCTCGTGTTATTCATGAATGACACAGGGGAAGTGTAAATTAACACCGTTTTCAGTTCCTTTGAGTATGAATTGGAAGGATTGTGTACGAAATCGAATTCATTTCACTTTGGTAATGATTTTCGTACAACACAACAAAATAACTTGATAGCCCTCGAAGACATGATCGACAACACAATATCCATGCTTTGCCATACGACCTTCTTTATGCGAAGTTACTAAATGATCATAAAATTTTTTGATTAAGTCCAAACAAAAAAAATAAGAAAAGAAACCCTGGGTACCGATGCAACACTGATAATCGTACTTAATGAGAAGTTTACTTCGCGTCTGATGCTTTTGAAACCGAAAGATCAGAATAATGAAAGACATTCGAAAAGTTTTCCATCACTCCAAAACGTCCGCCCATCGACCAACCTTTACCGTGATTGTTCATCATTCACATAGGAACACAAAATTTCAAACGCCTTGAAGAAAGTTAATGTATAAGAACCATACATTACTTTCATGTTCATTTTCACATTCTAAATTATTACTGAGAGATTTGATAAGTGTAATAGAGAGGTAGGTTTACAATTTATTTGATCGTAGTGAAATTTAATAGACCACTTTCATAAATGGCTGCCGAATTAATATTCTTTTGTTTAAATTTAAATTAGCCCTACTGGCCTCGTTCTCCAGTGCAAAATTCAAAAGAATACATTATCTCAAGCAAGGCCAGTAGGGCTAATTTAAATTTAAACAAAAGAATATTTATACGGCAGCCATTTATGAAAGTGGTCTATGGCTTTCATCGATGGAAGCTAAACCGCGCATGTAACTGTCTCACCAAACTTAAACATCGTAGCGTGAGGTGTAATCAAAGGAACAGTCTACTAATAGAATTTACGCTGCTTAGTTTCTGGTTTGTCTGTTCGCGGGGAAAAATGAAACAAAACATGACGTGAATCAAAGGCAAAAATATTGATAAATTAAATCCATGCATAGAGCAGTTACGAGAATCACCTTCTCCGGTGAACCTCAAGGCCCTTTGTCAACACAGACACAGTGTCTCTGGTTTACCGCCCTCAAGACCCAACCAATAATATGTGTAACTAGCGACAAGCCTAAGTCATTGGGAGTACCAACGAGAACAGCAGAGAGAATTACAAGAAGAATAGCTTTCATAAAAAGTGTATAGATCGACTCAAATAGTGAATGTTATACGTACCCTTTGAATGAAATAATTGTCAGTCCACGATGGGTTAGTAAGTCACACCAGTGTAAAACGGTTGTTCAAAACAAAACGAGTCCCTCGAGCAACACCAAATAAAGGTTTCTTCAACTTCACTAAAAATAGAATCCAATCAGAACACAGGATTCGCCCACGGCATGTTCGATGGCATGTTCAGTGAGCTTTGAGAGACATGGGATGCACCGATTAAATTTTTTTGATGGCTTTGGGCATCGTCAGCAAATTATCGGGGCATTTTCTGAAAACGCACAAAGTCTAGCGAATCTGACGTAGTACACAAGGTATAGCATATCTTTTATAGTTCTTCTGCTTTTGTAAACTAGTTGTTATCGATCTTCAATCAGATTCTTCCCAACACGAAATTCTTATAAAATTAGACCATAGATACCTGTTCCGAATTTCATTCCCACATAAGGTAATCTAATCACTACCATCTTCTTTAGATTTTGCCATCCGCTCAAGATTTACAACAAACTTCTTTCCTTAACTATTCACAATGACAGCTTGAAGTCAGTTTAACTATAAAATATATCATTTCAGAGATAAAAGCATTTTCTCCAGCTTCTTATACATGGTAACAAATTTTCCTGTGCTGTTATCAAATGAAATAATGATACAACGTGACCTGATTGGTTGAGTGATACCGCACAGGTGGTGATGACGTCACAGTACATAAGTTTTACAAAAATATAAAACTACCCCTTTCCAGTCCCTATGTTCAATTCAATCAATCATATTTGCATTGACCTTCCAAATATGATTGGTTATATTTTCATATGCTATAGTTTCTTTTAAATCTTGTTTTCCTTGTTACTATGATGATCAAACCTATAACAAAATTCTTGGACGTGATTGGTTATTACCAGCCCAGTTTCAACCCGTATTGGACTCCACTCAAACCTATCACTATTACTGACTGTGTGGTACGTTGTCAACCTCGCTCCCCGGGCTTTTCCCTTTTTGAATTTTGGCGGGCGGGAAACCTACCGCCATATTTGTTTAGGTATACTGATCGCGCTACGAAAATTAGCATAAATTATCAGATTTCGTAAGCCAATCAAAAACAAGAACTCATCAGCCAATGCCAGAGCCTTTTCCCGCCCGCCAAAATTCAAAAAGGGAAAAGCCCTGGGAACGAGGTTGGTACGTTGTTCGATAACGACATCCTTGCCATACAAAATTCTATGTTGTCTTTGTTGTCTTTGTTCTATGTTGTCTTTGTTGTCTTTGTTCTATGTTGTCTTTGTTTACATGATGAGCCAGTTGATAACTCCGGCGACGCTGCTTTTGGGAGACAAAGTCTCTTCGTTCTTCACTGAAAACATTAATTCTCTGCTGATGTAGTTAAAACTGCAAGAGTTGTCAACCAGGTGCCTGCATAGAAGCAGCGGTCATCAGTACTTGAGCATGTTCTTGAGGCAGTTCTGCAAGAATGTTCTGGAATCTTTGTGGAGATTGTTGATGAATTTTTTGTATCACACTGACAAGTCCTGAACGAATACCTAAAAATACATATATAATCAGACAAATTTTCTTGGATCGAAGTTTCTTACAAGACTTTCATTGTTTATTTTAGAGAGGCTACTAAGAAAGAAGAATGAAAACTTCTTGTTTCTTTGATTTAACAATAAAAATAGCGAATAATAAAAGAAAAGAAGTCAAAAGCAACTCAGAATATTCAACCATGCCCGTCAAATACATGTCATCATTGGAAAACACAAAGCTACTGGTCGCCCTAGCGACGGGGAGTAGATAAGTAAAATTGACTACGAAATCCATTAACATTTTTACATTACTAGTTTCTCCTGTGACCTAATATAACTGCACCCAGTAAATCTTATGTAACTCACCGTCTTGTAGAGTGTCAGAGGGAAGAACTTGAGAAAAAACTGCGAGAAGTTGTGGTAAATATTGCCTTATGAGAGGATGCTGATCACTAAACAGTTCTATAATGCATGAATAAACGGGATTGTTTTCTTCAAAATCTTCTTTCAAGGGAAGACACTGTAATAATCCTGGAAAAACCTGCAAAAGCAGAGGAAGACGATGTAGTCGGATGATCCTGCAGAGGCGGAATGCTGAGTGCATCTTACTGCTTAAGGCTCTTACCCTAGGTCATCCCCTTCCCCTCCCCCTGTTGGTTTTCCCTGTCATTGTGAGGCAATGCGAGAGTGAAAGGTCTTGCCCGTGAACACAACACAAAGACCCGTCCAGGGTGACAGGTATTGCCTCCCCATTCCTCTCTACAGAGGAAAATAAACTGAATGCAAGAAAAGTGAAGCAAATGATAACATTAACTCTGACCTTTTCCAGAGGAATAAAATTCCTATTTGCCATAACCATCCTACTCACAGCTCCACAAATGTTGTCCACCACTCGAGGAGGTTGATTTTGGGACAGGATCACAAACAGAGCCTCTAAAATGGTTGGATAATGACTTGAAACTTGTTAAGAAAACACACAAAAATGCCGGATCCCCACAAATGATCTCCAGAAAAACAGTACAGAAACTTTATCGCTACGAGTCGTCTTTGAGAGGCCGCGAAATACCGGACTTCCAGTACCTCTTCAGGGCGAAAGTTAAATTTAAATGTATTCATATTACGCCTTGAAAAAAAAGGTGAGCATTGTGACTGAATAATTCAACACGGAAGGATACGGTGTGATCAGGTCTCCTCCATAGAAAGCCATAATACCAAGGCCATAGATTGCGTTACTTCTCACTTCATCATCCTCGTCTTTGAGTGACGTCATAAAAACAGGGAAGAGATGCTGTACAAAGGGAACTATGGCGTGGCCCATGGCAAGCATTACCTATCAAACAACATGTATGGCGTTACATTAGCCGCATGTGTACCACAAAATGTTGCTCTCTCTCCTTGTCTAACACTTCTGGAAGTATTACAGTCTATGATTTGACATTACAAGTAACATTCGACTGTGAAAACTGATCGCCCTGAAAAGGACTGCCTTTAGTTGTAGTGACTGACGTTTCGACAACCTTGGCGGAAGTCATCATCAGAGCCGAGAGAACTGTCGTTAGACGAGTGTTATAAATCCAGTTTGTAAAACTGTTGGTCCGTTTTTCCGTGATGTTATTGGCTGTAAGATTTAAGTAAGTGGGTAGTGATTGGTCAACCAAAGGCTTTCTGTGGGCGGTAGCAAACATTTGTCCCCCTAACAGAACAAATCAAACAGGTGAATAAATAAACGAAATCCACAGAAACTTACCTCTGAGATTGTTCCAATGGCAAATGATTTATCGGATACCGGGCAAGATTTTCTCTGCGAGAAGGAATACACTAAGTTGTTTGATGCTTCAAAATAATAATAATAATAATAACAATAATAATAATAATAATAATAATAATAAATAAATAGTAAATAATAATTGAAATTTATAACTATGCCGTCTCCTTTTAAATGACAGCTCCACTAAGCCGCAACTACAATACATCACCCTGCTTTCTTCCACTTTGACCCTAAGAGTGATCAGCATGTAATTTCTACGTACAATATCACTCCTGAATCAAACACTAAGGTCAGGAGAATAAAGAAAATGATCACCAACTAAAGCAGCTATTGATTGTTAAACAAATTCTCCTTACCAGCGCCTTAGGAAATGTAAAGAGAAGAGTATGGAGAATATGCATACAGATATTACGGTGTAAAAGGTGAACAGGTTAGGCAATGCCAGAAAAAGTAGAAGAATTTCAAATGCGGCGGTGAAAACTGATATGAAAAAATTGTGAAGCCTGCGAGACCTCGCAGCATTTTATGCTGATATTTTTACCCGGCCATTCGTACACGAAGAGGAGGTGGGTTGTTTCTCATTCAATTGTATTGCAGACTCTACTGACAGAGATATTACAGCTCGGTTTATATCTATAAACGTCGTATTCTTACTTACCGTTTTCTTCAACAGCAGAGGCAGGAATCCAGCAAAGTAAGGTGCAAAGATCTGACCGCCCACAGCTGTCGCTAAAGAAGGCAAAACGTCTCCAGCATATTCAATCAACATGGCATCAAACTCAGCCTGCTGGTCTGAATCTTCCACATCATCATCATCGTCTTGTTGACAAGCAGTCTTGAGAGCAAGAAAAACATGATTTGGTGATTTCCTTGAAGGCGTTTTGGCGCAGTTTTGTTTTGTGATACAAAAAGTCCCTCTTGAAAATATCGACCGAAAATTAAAACCACTGAATATTAAGCTAAACTGGAAATTAACACCAGGAAACAAACTAGCATATATCAATTAGATGATCTTAAAAGTCTCATTTGGACACGTGCTGTTTCAGCCCACACAATGTAATTTTAAAGTTAGAAAATGTGTAACCTTCAAAGTCTGAACCCTTTTTCCTTCGTTTCGTCACTGTTACTAAAAGTTTTCGAGGCTCCATTATTTGAAATAATTTTTTGATGAAATAAATTTCATGTGACCTGCAGATGAATATCAAGTAAAGCAATGATCCTCGCAGGTGAGCTGTGATTCAAGCAATTGCAGGAAAGAAGCCTGGGCGACTGAAAAAAATTCAGGCCCACCAGATAAAAGCTTGGAGCTACTGCCAAGTGAACTTTTTCTACGATACTGTTTTTTTTTTTTAAATAATAATTGATATAATCTGAGAACGAGAAATTCTGAAGTAAAGGGGAGATTACAAATCATCTGAAGTTAACACACCTTTTGCATTAGCACAGTTCTGGCAGCGTCGGCGATGATGTCATGGTGACCCTGTTCATCAATGATCAAAGACTTGACTGCTTTTAGTACTTCATTAAGTGACTGTAGGGTTGCCATGGCAACTGACCTGTCCTTGTCCTTAGTTATAACGGTGATAAAAGTTGGTATGGCTGTGCCAAGCATACGCTGCACTGAGAAAATTAAAAATTAAAGAAAAAAAAAATTGGTCTGACAGGGCTAAGAGGGTGCACTCAAAGATACGCTTCATTTGAAACGTCTGCGCTATGCGTAATCAGCCTAATTCTAAACGAATGTCGAAATTGTTCGCTGATGACACAGAATAACAAAAAGCATAATGTTCTTAGACCATGCAACGAGTGGGACAACAACGACAGAGACAATAGGTAGGACATCAATTTCACAATTAGACGTAAACCAAAGCAATGGAAAATAAAGTTCTCAGCGGTATTCAAGCGGGGCAGGGAAGGTCGAATTATCATATACAACACCTTTCTAGCATTCTGATTGGCTCTACTTTCTGCGGTATTGTACCAGAGCCTGTTTTGTGTACATACATTCTGTTTTATCCTCTGCACCAGCTTCTTGAAGTAAAGAATGAAATCCACTGCAGAACTGACCTAGCGCCATCACGGCTCCCTTTCGTACTCCTGAGTGAGGAAACTGTCAGGGAAAAAGACAACTTGCTCCGGTTGGTTTTAATATCAATATTGAACCCTTTGGAACCGGATGAACTCACTTTCTCATTGGTGGTACAAGCGTAGGACAGTTAAAATTGTTTAAGTAGTATTGTTTAAGATCATATTTGAGTAGTTCAGAAATTTTTCAAAATAATGCGATTCACTGGCGCTGTAACTTATCAGGGAGGTGGGTCTTTAACACAAGCCTTTTGGTTCATACCAGCCAAACACAACCCAATCTCCATAGCACGAAGTGTTTAAGGGTAATAATGTTCCTCCCGGATGGGATGGAAATAGGGCACAAAGTTGTCCTCCCCCCCTCCCCCCCACAGCACTTCATTACGACTCCCAGACAATTCGCCGCCAGTGGTTGTTCCTATTTCTATTTCCACAGCTTGGGGCGATGAAGAACAATGCTAGTTCCCAGTAATGGGGTGGGGGTCCATACAGTTGCCC